GCCACAAGGTCATACAAAGTTGTATATTTGGTGTCCTGGGAAAGTCACAGTTGTTAAAGTTAGAGCACTGCACAATCCACACTCTGACTCTGTGACATGAGTGTGAGTGTGAAGAATGATGAGATAAAAAAAGCAAAAGGCAAACAGCATACAGGTATGGCAGGATGTATCCACTATGGCCCAGTTTTTGTATTTGGGAATGTGTTTTTGATGCATTATGGTTATCCTTTCCTAATAAATCTAACTATCTGTCTGATCATTAGGAGATGGAGCAGATGAGGAGCACAACATGTATTTACAAGCAGCTATAGTGAGAATCATGAAGGCCCAACACTACCGCTCATCCGGGAGGTAGGTGGATGTTCTCACCATTCAAAACTTTTGATTGATTTCTTAATATTTAGGTTGCATGATACAACATGAAGCGTAGGATTTACTACGTGTTTTTTTCCAATGCATCCAACAAAGCACATAACCTGTCAGATCTACAGGTATTGGAAGGGACCAGACTGTCATTGTCACATCTCACAAACTAAAGGTTATTTCCATTGACCCTGACGTGATTTGAACACGCAGCCTTCTGATCTGGAGTCAGACGCGCTACCGTTGCGCCACAAGGTCATACAAAGCTAATTTTTTGGTCTCGTGTGAAACTCACAGTTGTTAGTTTACTTTAGAGCAAAAATCTGCATTCATGTACGGAAGGATGTATCCACTACAAGGCCCAAGGTTTTATATTTGCCTGTTTGTGAATATTTAGTAAAATGTCAGATTATTGCCACTAAAATCAGCCTTAAAAGAAAGAGTAGGAACCAGCTATGACTAACAGCAGTACTTAAAGCAAAAGTTGAAATATGTAGATTTCTTTAAATAATCAGATGTCAACTCACAGTATCCAACATTTTGCATTTTCATCAGGCTATACGCATAGAAACACTTCTGCAAAACGCATAGTTATATATAGAGTCATAGATTTCAGTTGGGATTATTTATATAATACGTATCAAATGCAAACCTAGAAGTTTTCATGTTAATCATACTTGTTGTTGGGCTACATGGGTGATCAAAAGAGTTGCAATACAGAAAGTGTATGCAAAACAGCAGCAGGCAGAGTTTGCAAATCCAGGAAATCAGAGAGCTAACACCATTCTGTGTGTTCACAGTGTACTCTAGGCCCAATCCCCATAAACACTGCAATTACAGGCTTTACACTTAATCCAAACAAAGAAGATTCCTGGAGAGAAGACAAGGTGTATTACTTTGAAGAGCCTGCAGAGGGGGCACAATTACCGTACGGTTCAGCAGTGAAACTACTTTAAAAGACCCTGATGTTTATTTTGAGGGTTAGTAGCTTAAGGTCTTAGTAAAATGTTTTGCATAACATAGGGTTATATTGCTTTGAGCTATAAGCAATGTAATAACAATTGAAGGTGCTTTGGTAGTAGTTGCTAATGTGTGTTATCAGGGAAACTTTTCAGGGGAAAATACATGCCTTAGCTTGCATCAGACTGCAATGATGGCAGAGATGTGATTTAAGTAATGTTAGACACTGTTTACTGTGAGTTTTATCACACATCTGTAGTGTCTTTCAAGTCAATTGGCATGAACTGAAGCCAACATAAACTAATAACTGCATCTTCATGTGCAGACTCACATGGAGCCGTCTGCTGAGGAGTTGTGCAACAATTAAACAATGACTGATGCAATAATGGTGAGGAGATAGAAAACAAAACACTGGCTTTAGCCTTCTCAGAAGCATCAAATCATGATTTGACAGGCATGGCTATTTTGCAAAGTGGGAACACAACATTAAAACACTCAGAAATGTGTAAATGTCAGCCTAAAATTAGTTGAAAGTTGGGAAAAAATACAATGGATACAGTGGGATTGAGTAGTTTGTGTTAATCTGTAGATTTATTTTGCAATGTAATGTTAATTTAACACAGTATCATGCTACTGAAAACCAAAATCAACCTGCTTTTCCTTCAAAGACAAAGTACCGTTAATGTATTTGATGATAAAACCTGGCCTTAAAAGGGATAATTAAAGTGAACAGTAATTCTGATTTCAGGCTGTGATGATGACTTAGATGATATCTCTATTATTAGCCAAAGTTCTGTGTAACTACAACTACAATTTGTCTACTCTTTTTCTTATTTGTACTTGATGTTCTCTCTTGTTAATGTCCTTGACATGCAGGTTATTGCATCACATGTAGCAGGTAATGGGGAGGAGCCATGATACACAATAAATGTGACTGTCCTTATAAAGAATATCTTCCTCTCAGTTTATGGCCAAGTCCCCACATTCACTCATTTTACATTCATCAATAAAAGGTGGAAGGTGGAGTTAGAAGGCCCTGATAGAGGTAGAGGAAGGATGTAGTAAATTACACCTCTATGAATGTGTACATTGTGATTTTTTGGTGGTGAGGTACAACTCTGATGATGGAGTGATGTGTCAGGAATGTCCTCCATCACTCTCAGGATCATGTTGGAGCACGTATGCTGTGGAAGTCACACCCTCACTGTCAGCTGACAAATACAGCACACAAACACACACACACACGCACACACACACACACACACACACACACACACACACACACACACACACACACACACACACACACACACACACACACACACACACACACACACACACACACACACACACACACACACACACACACACACACACACACACACACACACACACACACACACGCACACACAGAAACGCATTGTTTACTTTATGTGCTGATGCTTGCCTCTCTGCATAGGACAATTCTGTAAATGTGGAGAAGATGAAGTTAGGCACCGCTCAATACTAAGATAATATAAGAAAACAATTTCCACCTAGTGTTATAAAGTAAGTAATTTTTTGAGCCAATAACAAGGCTCACACTGCTGCCATGGCATGGTGCAATTTATTTTTAGATCAAAATGTTACTAGGAATGTAAGTTACTTTCCTTGTTACATTTCTGTAATTCCTTCAACCAGTAAACAGGCTCACATATTTGCCATGACATACTTCACTTATTTTCAGGTCTGCTTATAATATCCTAACAACTGCAGAGAAAATCACAGGCTCTTCTTTTACCTCTCTTTCATCCAGTACTATAAATTACATATTTAAATTCAAAACAACCTTCACAGCGGGTCCTGGGCCCCAGTGAAACTCTTCATTTCCACCATAGTCTCCTCCTCCATGCATTCCTGATGTGCAGTGGACAAACTACAATGCAGGCCCGGGAATCATTTAACCATAGCAGTTTCGGATAAATAACTGAATTGTTAATTTAGGAAACTTATTATTGTCCTATATAAGAAACTCTCAAATATATCAGATTCATTCAGCAACTGGTATCTTACCATTTATTTGAGTTAACATAAAAAACACTGAGGGTTTGTGTGTTGGTTTTAACAAAATATCCATTTAGGTCATCAAACTCTCCTTTGTTGCTCTTTTTGGTGAGTGTTTTTCTTATTTTTGTCAGTAGAGGGAGTATGATACACATGTGCAAGGGAAGAGAGAGGTTGTCAACATCGAGTGACACGAGTATATCAGGTTGAAAGAGTTCTTCTTTTTGAGGCTTACCAGTAATATCATATTTCACTATAAGGCAATACACCAATAAGTTCCTACCGTTTGACCCTGACGTGATTTGAACACGCAACCTTCTGATCTGGAGTCAGACGCGCTACCGTTGCGCCACAGAGTCAGGATGATGGAGGAAGTGGCATTTTGCATCGCATTTTTGTATCCAGCAGTGACTCCTGGGATAAAAAAGCAAATTGAAGACACATCATTAGGTTATATGTGTTAGCTTGAGAGCAAGAAGCGAGGGTATTAATGCAGACAGATTTTGAGCAGTGATAATATAGTTTTGAAAAGAGGTTGTCCCTATTGCACTGGTGTTCATGTTCACTCAATTGGACTACATGAGAACATAAAGAGTAAGAGCTGCAGGGAATGAGTGAAGCGCAGAAAGGTTGCAGCTTTTATCAGTGAATTGGGTCATATTGTAGATCCAGCCTTAGGCTTATCTCTCCTTTTGCACTGCAGTTCAATAATTTAGTCATAACATTAATATATGCTTTGCTATCAGTGGCATAAGTGCAGGTCTCAGCAGCTTCATCTGAGAATATGACTCCTATAACTTATTCTGCTAGAGAGTTAAGCTCATTTGTCTCATTCATTCAAACTCAACATCAGTGTGTATGTCCAACACCCAGGCAACACAGATAGATCAAAACGAAGTGTGATAACAAGCGTAATACTTGTTGCAATAGATCTGCAGTAATTGCTCTGAGTTGGAGCCCAAAGGGTTTCCCATATTTACCTAACCATAAACTCACAGATCTGCATCTGATAAGATAGTGTTTGACATCACAGGAATCCCAAATGAAATGCTTATAAAAGGTAGATATAAGCATCAGGACTGATCTGTCTTTTATAGTGTCATGTGCTTTGATAGTAGGCTATACCAACTAAGCATGCAACTTGCCGGGCCCCAGTCCCTTACAGATCCCAATGACCCCAGGTTGCACATTTTTTCGAGAACATGATTTCAAACTCACTGTAATATAAGGAACACTACTAAAAAAAGCTTAATGGTTGTCTTTTTGGCACAAAATGGGTTGGAGAAATGTGTGTTAGGGGACCCTTTTGCAGGTTAATCCAGCCCTAGCCACATTAATTTTAAGGACCCCATAATTCTCTGGCTCTCACATTTGAATTAAAGTCACCAACACAACTAAACATAAAAAGGTGGTTTAATGCAGTCAAAGTGGCTATTAATCATGAAATCAACAACAATAGGTTCCTAATCTCTCTATTGTATACGATTTCCATATTATACCAGTGGAATTTTTTTTTGCAAATCCAAGTGTTACGCAACCTTTTATGATAAAAAAGCAAGTAATTGGACTTTCGATGGGTTTGCCTCCAACCTGCATTGTGTTGGCTGCTGCTGGAAACATTCTTAGAGCCTGCTCTGACATGTGGGCGCGCGCTCGCAGTGTCAGTGCAGTGGTGCGCTCTGGCTGGATTGTTGGGAACTTTGTGCAAGTGAGTCAACACGGCACACAGGGAGGACGCCACCCAGCCCCGCCGCTGGATCTACTGCTGGGCTTCTCGGAGGAGGACACAAAGACAACTACTTTTCGACTTCTTCTCGACAACTGTGGATCTAGTTTTCGCGCACCGGGGATGTTTATTGTCGTCTTTACGCTGCTTTTTCCTCATTGGAATTAACGCAGCGGAAAATGAAAGTGACGGTGTGTTTCGGGAGGACCCGGGTGGTCGTTCCGTGTGGAGATGGGAATATAAAAGTCGAAAGCCTTATCGAACAAGCGGCTATGAGGTATAAGAAGGCGATCGCAAAGGTAAGCTCCTTTCCCACACAGCCCTGCCCCGGTGTGCTGTTGTAGCACGCTGTATCAACACCGGAGCCTCAACATGGCGCTTTCCACGGGCTAAGGAAGAGACAGGAGGTGGGCAGAGGAGAGCCAGCGGCTGTCCCTTTAGAATCGGAGCCAGTTGGGACCCCCAGGGGGGCCCTTGTGGAAACAAAGTGGGAAGCTTGTCATTGTTATCACAAAGGAGATGACAAATCGTGATTACTTTATTCGTGGTAGTTCACTGTTTCCTCCACAAGGAATCAAAAAGTTGTGAAGCTAAAGAGCTCTCTTTCTGGTCTCTTGTGTGTCTGTTTGGTTGGCCATCCAAAACGTTCAGGAAACACTGGAAATGTTCCCTTTTAGTTGTGTTGGCAGGGATGTGAGTTCATACAGTGGAGCAATGAGGATGGAATGGAACCAAAATAACCCGCGGTTTGTGTGTAACTGTGCCAAAGTGAAAGCAGTACTACTGCTTTTTAGAATGGCACAGTAAAGGCGTGTGTGCAACCAGACAAAAATAAATACTATATGTTTTAACACATAGTCTTAACTGTCTACTACACACATTATCCAAGGACTATTAGATTGCAATTTACTATAGTGTAGTTCCACTGTTAGACACTACACTCACATGTGTGCATTTGTGTCTCTCTACCAACACAGTTAATCACTTTTATGTAAAACATGGTAATAGGCCAATGGAGTAACCACCATGTGTATTGATAGTGTAACATGGCTTTGCACTCATTACTCTTTGCAATTACAAAAAAGTTCATTCAAGTTTCATCTCTTAAATGACGTGTGAAACCCCTGTGCCACATTTGAATCACCCGGCTAGGACCCATGATTACTTTCCCTTTGTGGGATTTTAGTGGCTGCCCATTCAATGACTAATGAATGAATTAAAGCTTGGTAGGCTACTGGTCCCAAGGTTAGTGACAGCATTTTCCTCTTTGCCAGTCAGTGGTATAACCATTGGAGTCATGTTAATGCTGTTTTAACTTTGTAAAACCTTAAATAATAGACTATTTAGATGGAACTTGCTTGTGTAATGAGCAATATACACGTTCTTCCCTCTGGTATACGCTCACGTCACACCTGTACACTCAGCTCCATAGTGACAGATGAAATACTTTCAACTTCCTGGATGGCCTCGGTAGTAGATTTCACAACTGATGGCAAACAGTGACGAAGTTGGTCAACATCAACACCCATTCTTAAAGAGCACTTCCTCCTATACACACTAGGAATCGCATTCCCACACACACACATTTGCTCCTCTGTTTACCAGTGCTTGATGATTTCCCTTGGTTCAGCAGAATGGAGGCGACTGGCCCATTGATCCATGCAGTGGCACTGTAAATGTAGATGTGTAGTCTTCCCCTCTGGAGAACACTTGGCGCTGGGTCAACAATAAAACGTAACACAGACCAGCCGAGACCTTTGGACTACATGAAGATGCAATCGCACATAGGTCACTTCAGTTGTATAATCTTCCTGCAGCTGACAGCAACACAGCATTGCTTTAACACTTAACTATGGCTGCTTTTTCAATGCAACAAAAATCACAAGCGTTGTGTACTTTTGCCATAAAAACAGAACATAAAACATGCATAATTCATCCAAGACAGCAGTAAGGTTGGTTGATTCAGCTTTAGCATGAAGGACAGAGGAACACATGAAAAGAGAAAGAGGCATCTGTCACATTTTCAGAAGCCTTTGATTGCAAAAGCCCATTCTGCAACTGAAGAGTGCTTCAGAACAAGTGGCACACAGAAGTGTAGGCAGTACTGGTGCATGTGTGGGAAATTGGTGGCAGGATAGAATTGCTATGGAGATCTGAAGGCCTTGTTGAATGCAGCAATATGTTCTTAGATTGTTTTAATAAGGGAAGGACCATGACATTTTATAAATGTAGATTTTGTGTCTTGAAATAGGTCTGCACCTAAGTTACATTAAACCTAACCAAAGTCCACCACAGTTCAGTTGAACCGCATCAAACAGGTTAGCTGTAAAAGCAATTGGAGAGGAAATCAGGATGAAATTCTTTTGTTGCTGTCATAACATCGCAATTATGTCTTGATTTATCTGGAGAAAAACTGATTAGAGAAACACTTCCCACACTTCCTGCTTTACATTACCTCTTCAAAAAATACTTCATGTCCGCCTCTTCTTTACCTTTCTCCTATATAGAGTGCCACAGTGACGCGTCCTCTCCACATGTCTACCCTACTTTTATAATTTTCTAATCATAAACCTATCGATCATAAATCTATCGATTAGATTTATGATTCGAAAATTATAAAAGTAGGGTAGACATGTGGAGATTATCCGACTGAACAAAACGTGATCCATCTCTTAAATGTGTGTCAACCACAGACCTTATTTCGAGCTATTTTCCAAAATCCTATGGAGAAATTGCATTGCTTTTTTGTCGAAGGAACCCATGCGCAGCTTACTTCCGTGTTTTAGGACGCGTCACTGTGGCACTCTATACTCGCCTCTGAGTACATTCTGCCTGGTGCTTATGTCCTTATCTACCCCTTCATTAAGTATGAATCATCTCAGGTTGCAAAGATATATGTCACATGTATTGCTGTGGCAATTATGTGATACTTAGTTGGCTGTAATATCAGTGATCTGTGACATTAGAAGTATTGTCTGCTCTGAATCAGCTGTGTTATCACAAGCTGTGCCGGTGTACCTGATCTCCTCTGGGGACGCTGAGGCCTTTTGTCACAGTCTGAGTGGGGCCAGGAAGCACACATCAATTATCCACTCAAGCACCATTAACTCCAGAGTCAATCTGGTCTACAGTGTGCACAGTCATGAAGGATTAATGCTAAATTGCTTTTCAAGCTTCTCATCCTGATGTGCTTCTCCCAAGACTGTTGTTTTCAGCACATTGCCAGTCAAGTGTTTACCACATTTTCAGCCATGTAAGCTAAACCAATATGAGGATGTTATTTTGTGTGCTTTCCCTTTGGCATACATGGATGAGACAGGGAGGTTCAGATCTTAACTGATCCTCTAACTGTCTGGTTTCACATCTGGCACACCGTCGGAGACATAAAACTAAAGAATACTCAAACATTCTGTCTCTGGATCCATAATTTGTGGCTCTTTGAAGAGCTGCATCTCTAGATCTTATTTGTCTCCTATACTTTCCCACAGTTACTCCACCTAAATGGAGGCTTAGGCCTTAAAGCACATAATTAGCTTTTTTTCCTCAAAAAATTCCACAAATTCAGGATTGCAGACATGTCACAGCAAAGTCAAGTTGTTAAAATAAACAGTTGCAGAATATCCTTAGGGGAGATGGCTAAACAAACACAAAGTCCCATATTTCTATACTGCTCCTTTTTAATGATATGCTTCATATAGGCTAACTGCAGCATATGATGAGCATGTGTCCTGTGGTTCAAGGACGTACAAGACAAGTCTGATATCCTCGTGGATTCATCTTCTTATTATAGACACATGCATTTCCAAACATTTGGACTACCTATGTTGTAAATGTATTATCTTTTCAATTTACACACGGCATCTATTGCACGTCTGTCCGTCCTGGGAGAGGGATCCCTCCTCTGTTGCTCTCCCTGAGGTTTCTCCCATTTTTCCCCGTTGAACTGTGGGGTTTCATTGGAAGTTTTTCCTTGTACGATGCGAGGGTCCAAGGACAGAGGGTGTCGTATTGTCATACTGATATTCTGTACAAACTGTGAAGTCCACTGAGACAAATGTAACATTTGTGATATTGGGCTATATAAATAAACATTGATTGATTGATTGAAGTCTCTGATGTAATGATGTTTTTATCTTTATAGCACAAACAGATGCATGTGACATCAAGGAAAACATGGTGAAAGGCTAGTGGTTGACCTAAAGTGACTTTTTGGCAATAACTGTGAAATATTGGCAATAACTGTTCAAATAAAGTAGGTATTATTTGATTTACCATGAATAAATGTATTGATCAAACATCCACTGGGATTCCATGTAGAAATGGGTTGATGAATATGTTCTTATAATATCTTATGATGATTGTTATGAGGCATTATCTATTTACAAGTGAGTATGACTAGACTTATACAGAGCTTTAAGCAGATTAAAATGCAATTTAAGTATGTTAATCATGCATTATAGTCATGGGTGCCATAGAGAGTGTTACTGTCAAATGTTTTGAGCCCTTATGAGAACCAGATGGCAGCATCATACACAACAGGAATTGATTTATTGGCTGAGGGGTGTTGACCAATAAATAATCAGTACATGTTTTTGTACGGCTTCTTGGAAGGACAACATGAACACACTGACTTGACACCTAGCAGGCTGTCTGTTGCTGACCCATTTCCCAAGGCTCCTTGTCAGATCAAAGCAAATTGGCTGTTGAGTTACTTTTAGTTCTGCTGATGAGAAACAAACACAGTGTTGGAAAGTCAGACCCTTTAGCAATGTTTGAGAACTCAGGATATACGCTCTTCTGCTGCAGGGCAACATTATACAACTCAGCATTTGTGTGGGACACAAGCACCAAAGTGTTGTTGATTGAGTGAAAAATAGGACACCCTCCAACATATATTTGTTTTTGTCCGGGCATTTTCACAAAAGGAATAATGTTGCCATGTAGACAGTTTTAACTGTCCAAAATAGTGAATTGCTTCCAAATAAAACACCACTTCTCTCCTCTGCCTGCACTAAAACTATAGTTTTGAATCTTCATCTATGCTCAGGTAACAGCCATCTTTGATGCACTGAGAGAAAGAGGGAAGTGGCAATGAAAGGGTTGTCACTGCTCATTAGCTCACTACACTCAGTGGCTCAGTGCTTATGTAATGGAGAGGAGCTGCTGTATATGAGCAGGATTATTACAATAGTTGAAGGTAATTGGGGTATTATCATGTGAGTGGAGAGTACAAGGCGGAGCTGTATATCTTCTGTAGGATGATGGGATGTATTGTGATTGATGTTAACTGAGCAGGAGT